AAGGACACCCCTCTTAAACAATCCTGAAAAAATCAGCTTGCCCCTAATTTTTTTTCACAGCTTCCGAAAATACAATTATCTTTGACTGATATGATTCACGAAGTAATTTCCTTGATTTTCGCATGCCTTTGCTAAGTGATTTAAATCCGAGTTTAAATCTTTTACCACCGAGTTTACCACCTTGATGGCAAGTATATTCTACTAGGTAGTATACCAATTCTACCTTAGCCTGTTGGCATTTTTTGGGACAACTTTTTGCAATTGTTTGCAATATTTCAGCATCTCTTTTATACAGGGATATTAGTAACTCCTTTTCAACTGTCTTCAAGACTCTACTTCATTATAAAAATTGAGACTTTTCCCTTGTTCTAACAGGTTTTTTAAATTTATAGTGTTGCAATAATTCTAATTCTACTTTCTAATACTTGCACAAATCAACATAATTTAAGGGAACCTAACCTATTTCAAACCATAAATAATTTTCGGAATAATATGAGTAAATCCTAATAGTCCCAAAATAATATATTAAGTGGTAGGCACGGTGATAGGTAAATTCTTAAATTATTTTGCGGAATAATAACAAAAGAAACTAGTAGGCCGATAATTGGAATAGAAACAAAAACACTATCATTCCGATTATCGGACGAGTATCCAGTCCCTTAAATTATTGTGTAAATCTAGGTGCTATGCAACCACCCCCAAAGTAGTTTGTATAACTATGTTGAGCACTTAGTTATAAAATAAAGCATCTTTATTATGTTCTAATATGATCCTCTATTAGATCTATTACAAAATTCTGTACATAATAAATATGTCTATTATACCTGCAAATTTCCTTGATCTCCCGTCAGTGTCTCCATTGTTAACTGAAAACCTTACTAAAAACCTTCGTCTAGAGTCTCCCATTTGTAGTTTGAAAATTTTCATTCAACAACTGGGATTCACAACAAACTCATAATGACTATTTCTAGGTAAAATTGAAGAGGGCATAACATCACTATCAGTAGAATGAGAAATATCAGTTGCAGAATCAAGTGAATTATCAGTTAACTTGAAAAGTTTTTCTGATGGCTTAATATCAATGCGATTTCTTCTGATAGTGTTGCCTCTGCAGTCTCGTAATATATATGATCTTGGACTCTCATGCAAATTCTCAACCTTTGCCGGTTCCCAAATTACACACAGTAACATTTGATCCCTTTTTAATTGGTTTCAAGCTTTTAGTATTTTTGTTGAAATTCTGAGCACTGAATAAATCACCTTTCCCTTCCTCCAAAGAATTTTTTAGAAAGTTTTTGGCAATTGACATAGTTTTTTCAGACAATCCATTTCTGTGTGACAAGAATAAAATTCCAATTTTTAGCAAATTCTAAAAAAAATTTACTATTGTAAGGTACATTATCACTAACAAAAATATCAGGGGCCCTTGCAAATATTGGTTTAATTTGAGAAATAACAGCTTCAGCACTTATTTCTTATAGGCAAAATCTCAAGCCAGTTAGAATATGCATCAAATAAAACACATTAACATTTATCAGCATATGTAAAAATGTCAGAACCAGCACGTTCCCATGGCCTCTCGGGTATTGGATATGAAAAGAGGTTTTGCTTTGAATTTTTCCTTGAAATTTTTTTACAAATTCTGCAGTTTTTAATGTATGATTCAATATCTGCTGTAATTCCTGGAGAATGAAATACTTTTCTGGCATGTGATTTTGTCTTTTCAATCCCTAGGTGGACCTCATGTGAAAGTTTAATCATTTCTAAGCTACAAGGAACAATTAACTTATTCTCCAGAAATAACAAATTTTCAGATACAAACAATGTTTCTCTCAGCTTGTAAAAATTCCTAATATTCTCTGGAACTTTGTACTTCTGAAGTGGCCAACCATTATTAATAAGGTTCATGACAGTACTGAGTTTTGGGTCTTTAGTAGTTTCAACAGCAAATTATTTAATTCGATTTGTGGACATAGGCAAAGATTTAATTACAGAATGTACCATCTTCACCAAAAGTAACTGGGACAGCATCACATTAGCTCTTGTCCTATTATATGAATTTTGTTGTCAAATATTTGTCAAACTATGCATTAAATGCATTGAAATGAATGACAGTAGAATTAGTCCATGAGATTATTATGCATTATTTGTGTCTCAGTTACTTTTGGTGACGATGGTACAGGAAAATCAATTTCATTTTCTGACTTTTCATTTTTTTTTTTAAGAAAAGTACAAGAGAGTGTGTTAGAAATGTACATATAGTTTCCTTGTTTATAGCAAATTTCCAAATTATATTTTAATAGTTTAAGTCTCATTCTTAAAATTCTTGGAGAAGTTGATTGTAATTCTTTTTTTTAAATGGACTTGGTTTGTGATCACTATAAATTTTAGTAAACATACCATAAATGAAGTAATGAATTTTTTTTACAGCAAACAGAATTGCCAAAGTTTCTTTTTCAATTTGAGCATAGGCTTGCTTAGTTTTAGTTAGGCTGCGTGATGCGAATGCTACAGGTTTACCTTCTTGTATAAGACAAGCTCCCAACCTATCTCTTGATGCATCTGCCTCTATTTCTATTAGCTTTTTTGAATGAAAATATCACAAAATAGGAGAGTTAGTTAAGCAATAAGCTATTAAAAGAATTTTCACTGTCCTCTCTCCACTCAAACTCAACGTCATTTCTAGTTAGATTCCTTAAAGGAGCAGTTATTCTAGAAAGATTTGGTATAAACTTGCCTATAAATTTCACCATGCCCAAAAATCTCAAAATATCTTACACTTAGGAACAGGCATTTTTGAAATAGCTTCAATATTTTTTGACTATCAAATCGTCAAAATATAATTCCACTCCTGGGATGTCACCAAAAATTTCACAATTTTTCTTCTGAAAAACCTCAGGGGCTGAACAAATACCAAAAGCTATTCTCCTCGCTATTCTCTTAAACTTATAACCACCAAACGGAGTACCAAAAACCCACTCTGAAGGTTTATCAACTTTTTTTATCATGTCCTTGGACACAAGATCATATAACTTTTTTTCAAGGGTTCTAACAAAATGTGAGGCACCCGCCTGATAGCATTTATTTTTGGTTTTATGTCTGGCTTTAAAGTTATATGATGCTGTGTTGCAAACTTTCCTAAACCCTCAAAAGTATTTAAATATTTATTAACAACATCCTTTAAAGTTTTAAACAATATTTGTTTGCTCAAAGAATCTACTCTATTTATCAAATTTAATTTTAAACATTCCTGTAAACCTAACAAAGGATTCTGGCCTTCAGCACTAACCACAACAAAAGAAAGTCTTTCTTTGAACTTCTTAACTCTACACTCTAGCATAAATTTACCTAAACATTTTAGTTTGAAATTCGGATCACCATGTGACATCAAGTAATATTTGTCTATAGACAAATCTGGGGCAATTTTATTCAAAACATTTAACGGTAAAGTGCTTACCTCGGCTCCGGTGTCTAACTTGAGTGTTACAGGCTTACCATTGTTCCATACTTCTTTTGTCCACATTGTTACTGTACTGTTTCCAATTGCTCTTCTAACTCTATTAATAGAACTCACATAAAACTCATAGTCACTTTCAGCTTCACTAGTTGACTCAGAATTGTCTTCTTCTTTGGACATACTTCCAGTACCATTTGTACCCGAGACTAGGGTAGAAATGTCCATATTTTCACAAAAACCCTTTTTTTGATGAATCGCAATAATTTGTTTTACTCCCTTAAACCACCGTCAAAATTATTTGCAAGTATTTTTAAGTACGCTAAACGGTGTATATCGGTACTGCCTATAACTTCCAGTACCATTTGTGCCCGAGACTAGGGTGGAAATGTCCATATTTTCACAAAATCCCATTTTTTGATAAATCGCAATTATTGGTTTTAACCCCTTAAACCACTCTCAAAGTAATTTGCAAGTCAAGTGAGGTTCCCTAAACGGTGTATATTGGTACTGTCTATAACTTCCAGTACCATTTGTACCCAAGACTAGGGTGAGCATGTCCAGATTTACACAGAAACCCTTTTTTTGATGAATCGCAATAATTAGTTTTACCCTCTTTAACCACCCTCAAAATTATTTGCAAGTCTTTTTAGGTACTCTAAATGGTGTATACCGGTGCTGCCTATAACTTCCAGCACCAGTTGTGCCCGAGGCTAGGGTGGAAATGTAGTAAAGTAACTTCACTTATTTCCCAACCTAGGGTGAAAAGTGAATATCACATTTTTAATGAAAAAAAGGGCAGCGAAAGCTTTTATAATATTAAATTGTATACTTGTTGATTGGTATTTAATATTTATGCATTTTTGCAAAGAAACCTAGAAAGAAACTAATACAATAACAATGTATTAAACTTTTTCAGCGATTTTTTACGCACTAGTGCGTTGTGTACATTACATGCCCATTCAGTCCTACACCTACCTTGGAAATTTCTTGATTACCTATATCTTTTATAATACACAAAGGATTTTATAAAACGCCCTTTTTTCTATTTGGCCCCATATATCTGTTGCTATTCCGAGTTCAAAGAAGCTGATGACAGATTATTTGTAGGCCCTTGATTGCGCAACTTTTTTTCCTTATGGTCCAACCTGTATTTTCAATGGTTTCTAAAATCCCTACGTACTTCAAGTTATTCCGGTCACCCTGACTAATCCAGCTGAAGAAAATATTATAATGGCACCAAAATTTTCAAAAACCCTTCAGGATTTCCAAAAATCCATTGGAGTACCCCTTTAAAACCAACCTCCAAAAATCCTTTGGGCTTTCTAAAAACCCTTGAAAATTCTCTAAAATGCTCCAAAATCCTAAAACTATGTAGATTTTGAAAATCCTCAAAAGCTATAATTTGCCATATTCCCAGCCTATGAAAGTGGCCTATCATTGCTCTAAGGGGTGCAATAATAATTCTGCTTAATAATTGATATTTAAGACCTTATGAAATTTTTAATTGGTCTGAGTTTCATTAAAATAATGTTTTATTTTCCAGATACAAAAATATCCAAAAAAGTCTCCCAATCAGCCGCATTAAACGTCCTCAATACTCATCGTAGTTCAACCGAAACAAGAAAATCCTCAAACGAAAACCTCAGTGATACGTCAACCACCCAAATAATAATCCCTCATGCAGAATTAGTTAGAATAAGTCGAATTCCAGGCAGGCCTTTGCAAATGCACTGCGCCAATCCTCCCCAGGAAGAAGACAGCGAATCGAAACTGGAAAGATTCGAAGTCATTTTAGCCAATACGCTCACTTTACAGGATTTGTGTAAGTTAAGTTGGTCAGGGATTCCGGTTAAAGTACGCGGTATAACTTGGAGGCTTTTGTCTGGATATTTGCCAACTAATTTGGAGCGGAGGGATGGGGTTTTGGAACGTAAAAGGCAGGACTATTGGACTTTAGTTGAGAAATATTATTATGCTGAACATGATGAAATTAATCGCGATATTCAACATCAAATAAGTATAGATGTGCCAAGAATGAATCCTACGATTGTGCTTTTTCAACAAAAAACTGTACAAATAATGTTTGAAAGGATACTTTTTATTTGGTCTAGTAGACGCCCTGCATCAGGGTATGTACAAGGTATTAATGATTTAGTTACGCCATTTTTTGTGGTGTTTCTACAGGAATTTATACCTGACAATAAGCCATTTGAAACATTTACTATAGATAAATTATCAGAGGAGCAACGTAAAATAATTGAAGCAGATTCTTTTTGGTGTTTATCTAAGTTTGTGGATGGTATACAAGATAATTATATTTTTGCTCAGATTGGTATACAAAAAAAAGTTTTACAATTAGAAGAATTAATTAGGAGGGTGGATGAAACGCTGCATAAACATTTGAAACAACATAATGTGAGCTATTTACAATTCTCATTTAGATGGTTGAATAATTTGTTAACAAGAGAACTACCTTTGAGATGCACAATCCGCTTATGGGACACATATTTATCTGAAAATGATTGTTTTCCTACGTTTCAACTTTATGTGTGTGCCGCATTTTTACTATATTGGAAAGATGATTTGATGAGGCAAAGAGACTTTCAAGGACTTTTATTGCTACTACAAAATCTACCAACACAGTCGTGGACTAGTTCTCAAATCAGCCTACTAGTAGCTGAAGCGTATAAATTAAAAGTTATGTTCGCGGACGCACCCAACCATTTGGCCTGTAATGAAAGTTGAGTGAGTATTTTTGAATAGGGTTATTATTTTGTTGTGTATATATTAGGACTTCACATATTTTTATATATTTTATCTATTTTAGGTGATATACATTTTAGTTAGTGTACGATTACGTAATAAATTTCTTGATAATTATTTTTGTTTTACTAAACAAAGTTTGATAATAAGAGTCAGTCAATCAAAATAAACTTTCTATTACACATGCATCATAATGAACGACTATCGCACGATAATACAAACGTCCTAATACAGGGTATTTTTTCTGAATGGGTCATATTGAGTTTTACATAGTAACATTTGAACCTGTTGGTTCATGTCATGGTCAAATAAACGTCCACTACGTGATGTCCCAAACAAGTCATATTTTACAACCTCTTTCTGACGTCGAATTTTGGTTAATTGACGTAAATAATCTATCTAAAATCGACTTTTGCTGCTTAGGATGTTTGTTGGAATAGGAAAAAAGAGCTGCTGGAAAACATCCTCCAGCATTTTAAATGTTTGAATGGATTTGGATCAGACGACTTTTTCGCAGGTCCGCTTTTGTATTAAAATTGTATTCGCTAACATCCAATGTTCTCTATCCTAGGCCTGGTTTATTCATCTTGAGATAAACTTTTTGGTAACTATCTGCCAGATAAATTTACAGATCTATAATCCTGTTGGTCACTGGATAATTGGTTGACCAATGGGATTACATATTACGTTTTTATTCATTTACGTTTTGTAATGGAAAATATTTTTAAAATGTATCAGTTACTAACTTTTGGTATCCGTTTAGTGGTGATTGACAGACTGCTGACCAATTTCATTCCTTGCATATATCTTTAAGTTTTTTATAATTGTTACTGCTAAGTAGTTTACCAACTTTATATTTTTGTGATTCATTTATCGCAAGTTGAAATTTTGCTAAAACTACCTCGTGATCCGGAAGGAAAAACAAGTTAGACAGAATTTGTTTTGCCTCTGATCTGTCATCATCAAAATTTATATCAAGGTCTCCTCCTAGTATCAAACCTGTATTTTCAAAGTATTGCTTTAAGTTCTGTTTATACACAAAATATATAAATTATTCTTTTTGTTATATAACAAGGAAAATTCAAAAACATTTTCAATTAAAAGGGTATTAAATTTAGTAATAGGGGTAACATCAAAAGATTGTAAAAATATCTTATTGATAAGAATAGCAGTTCCACAATGTTTTTTTATGTCTACAATAGAGAGACACCAGAGTATAATTGTAAATACAGAATGGTTTATTTCCTGCTAACCAATGCCCAGTTATAAGTAAGAAATCTGGAAAGTTGTTTTCTTCTAACAGCAGATATGTCATCAAAATTGTTCCTTAGCAATTGTATATCAACTAAAAATACAAAGACGGCGGCCTTATTATCCTTACCTTATATCCTGTTGTTATATAGGCTCAGAAATACCTACGATGATTTTATTTACATTAGAAATAAAAGGAACCTTAATGATTTTTTAATACTCTTTATTAGTTAAAAAATAACATACAAAAATCCAAGAGGAATGAACATATGAACTAATTTTAAACAATATAATGTTTCCGTCTTCTGCACTGATCATCATTAATCATTGTAAAACAGAAAGTAATTGATTTAAAAAGACTTTATCGAATAATATTTTTAAATACAATAATATTATATGCAAAATAATTTAAACCTTAGTAATTAATCATTACAAGATACATAAATAGTAGAGCAACAAAAGAAAAAAAATATTTATATCTTAGATAATACACGGGACTATCAAAATTGTTGCTATTTCATTATTCAAAAAAGGTAACACTCTTTTGTCTCTGTTTTGTTTTATAGATTTGTTTGTCTAAAGGCATTATTATATTATGTAACTAGAAATACGTCTTTATTATTTTTTTTGTTTGTTTAATACCCACCCCTTTCACGAATTGAAAAGGGTAACGCGGCGCACCACTGAATCTGTACTGTACACAAATATGCTTCACAAATAGGTATGTAGTGGTTGTTTTTTAAAATATAATCCTAGCCTTACTTAGTCGTCGCATAGAAAACGGGGGCTCTGCTATTGAGGCTGTGTCACTTGGCCTCGTCCCGCGCTTTTTTAGCAGAAGGAGGCCCGTCCGCGCTGCTATCAAGCGACCGTTTGTAATTCATACTATTTGAATCTTCATCCTAAATAATATGAAAAATGGTATTAGTTTGGGCAAAAAGAGATCAATAACTTCTAAAACAAAAGAGTAAACTCTCAAATGAAAATTACTATACAAGGGTGTTCCAGAATTAATGCACCAAATTTTTATGGCATATTCTACGTCGAAAATAAGCCTTAGTTACCTATATAAACATATGTCCGGAAACGGTTCCTTTCCGAGATACAGGGTGTTGAAATTTCAAAAAAAAACAATTTTTTTATCATAATTCATACCACTTTGAAATTTTGTACACTGCTTTCAAGCAGCAAAAGACATTTTCTGATGTGGAATATTTAAAAAAAAAAAAAAACCAGTGACGTCACAAAACTAATTTGAATCTTTAGGTGTTTTGGCGATTTCGCCATACATCAAAATGATTTTTTATTTTTTACTTTAAAACGGTGCATCTTTCGGAAAAAAGTGAAGAGATCCAATTTGTTCCTAATTGAATGGGGATTTCAAAAATGATTTTTATTTTAGAAAAAATCAGTGACGCACCCATTTTTTTTTTTAAAAATATTCCTTACAAATCTGGTAGGACGCCACTGGTAACTTTAAAAAAAAATTATTTCACATCAAAAAATGTCTTTTGCTGCTTGAAAGCAGTGTACAAAATTTCAATGAAATATCTTGGAGTGGTTTGAAAATTAAATGATAACAAAATAGTTTTTTTCTTAGAATTTCAACACCCTGTATCTCGGAAAGGAAGCGTTTCCGGACATTATGTTTATATAGGTTACTGGGGCCTTTTTTCGACATAGAATCTGCCATAACAATTTGGTTCATTAATTTCGGAACACCTTGTATAAAGTTTCGACAAAATTCAGAGGAAATATCTAAAGCAAGTCTATAAAGAGCCAAATGTTCTATTTTGTCAAAGTTTGATGAATTCTATGTTGAAATTCAGCTTAAACGACCAGATTTGATTTAAGTAACAGAGTCCTGGCTACACAAGGACGTTCCTGATGCAAGGGAAGGCAAACCAAATTATTTTTATTTCGCAAAGACAGCGAAAACAGAATTATAAATTATGTAAGTGGAAGCATTGCAGGTATTAAACCCACAGTGACATTAAACCAAGAGTCCAACCGCCTGATGGTATTGATGCGATTTTATTGGATATCACAATCATAACACTTAAGAGCACAAGACATACCTATAGAAACAACCAGAGAACTTTTGCCAGCACGAGAATTCCTAAATTTTTAAGTAGAGAGCAATGCTAAACAGATAATAGATTTCAACACCAGAATTAGAAACGATCAACAATCCCTTCTTGATTTAATACTGGTAAGCGATAGGAAATTATTCACATAATTTATCCTTCAAATCCAATTGGTCATAGTGATCACGTTGTAGTGAACGCTCTAGCGCAGATAAACACAAAACCAAGTTCAACCGAGAAAATCAGGAAACGTAATTTTTGGGAGGCCAATTTCGAAAATATAAACCAAAAAATATCCGAAATGAAGTTTCTAAACAACATGGTATAGCAAATATAAACACCATCATTCAACAAAGTATTCCCATACAAAATACTAGAATAAATCCTCAAAAACCGTGAATCAACCCTCGCCACTTCAAAGAAATTCAAAAGAAGAGGAACCTTTGAAGCAAATAACAAAATTCCAAAACTCCCCAGTCTTACCAGGAATATAGAACTCAAAATAACCTACTGAGAAATATGCTGCAACAATATGGACACAATTTGCTCACAAGATCTGATAAACAATTTTACTCCTACATAAAAAGAACACTTAATTCAAACTTTACATCTATTATTCTAAAAGACCAGGATACCGGAGATATAATTAGAGATTTAAAGCAGACTTCAGAAACCTTGACGAATCAATTTGAGAAAATCTTCACCAGAGAAACACTGCAAAATTTCGCAAGACTAAGAAGTGAACCTTTAGTTGTCCAAATAACATCAGTCGATTTTACGCCAGAAGAGATTTGCAAAGTTTTGAAAAAAAAAAATTTAAATAGACTCCAGCCCCGGTCCCGACAACATTCCAGCCATATTTTCAAATAAAACACGAACCACTCTCATGGGCAATGAACAATCTTGGAATGGAAAAGTGCCAAACGAGTGGACCAAGGCAATTATAACGCCCATCTACAAGAAGGGAGACAAACACAACCCTGGAAATTATCGTCCCATAAGTTTACCATCCACTTTATATGAGTCAATGAAGAGGGTTGTAGCCGATAAAATCAAGAATTTTGTTCTGGAAAATGTGTTGGGGGGTTATCTAAGCAGCCAAAGCATTGAGTAGGTGCCCCAGGGCTCTGTCTTGAGCCCTTTGCTCTTCATAATTTAAATCAGTGACATAAGAAGTGGCCTACAGTCTGGTATCACCTTCTTTGCTCTATTGCAATCCAACCCATGACACTCAGAAACTGAAAGATCTCTGCAGCTTATTCCATTAGACCAATGAATGGATGCTAAGCCTCAACTGTATTGCACATCGGTAGAAATAACCCAATTGGAACATGCATAGTCCCAGAAGTCAACCAACAACTTCCAGTTATTATAAGCTCTGACTTAAAATGGGAGCCTCACATTGTATGCGTGACTAAAAAAGCTAACACCCTAGTGTACCTAATGAAGAGAGCTTTTAGTGAACACTCTGTGGAAATGAAAAAAAACCTTTATAACACCTTTGTGTGTCCTAAGCGGAAATATGCCCATGCTGTGTGGAGCCCCTACTATATAAAAGACAAAGATATTATCGAACGAGTCCAAAGAAGAATCACCAAGATACCTCCAGAAGTGAGCCACCTACCATACCGTGAAGGCTTTGAAATATTCAGACTAAGTGCATTAAGAGAAAGGCGAGAAAGAGGTGATCTCATTGAAACCTTCAAAGTACTAAAGGGTTATTTCAGCCCAAAAATCAATCTCGCAGTCTTCCAACTTCCATACACGAGAACTATGCTACCACTTAAAGAAACTCAACAAAGAAAGATCTGCTCTGCTTTTGAGAAAGAATTTTTGAGCAATAGAGTTGTATACAGACGGAACAGCCTTCAGGAATCTACTGTAAATGCACCAACTGTCAACGCCTTCAAGAACGCGCTGGACAGGGAAATGGACAACTTAAGAAGTCAGCTTACCCACTACATGTAACCTTAATCCCTAATGCCTAAATATCGCCACAGTGTATACACAACTGAACTCACACATAGAAAGAAAAAAGTGAAAAAACATTATATAATAGCAATATGCTTATCGGTTTATTATATTGCTCACAATAATAATATTGTTCTTACCTGGATTGAGTCCTTGGTTGATTCGCTAACACTGGACACTGAGGCGCTATTTTCGCCCAAATCGTCTGCCGAAATTAAGGGACTGCCATTGTCGGTATCAGCGAACGAAGTTGTGGTGTCCCGGGTGTCTTCGTCCAAGGCACCGGCAGGCACTGACGTTGTGGATTTACCATTCAGAGCTGGTACACCACCTAAGACAAAAACTATTTTAATTAGAATTTGTTTTAATTATAATTGGTTGAAGTGTCTGACCTGCTGAATTACTTTCATCAGAGGTGATGGTTGAATCAGCATCTAGGGAGTCTCCGTTTTGGTGTAAGGCAGTCAGAGCCGGAGGGATTGTGTTGCCGTTTTCAATTGTAACATCTGAAAGAAAAATTGTTGATGTCAGAAATTTATTATTATTAGTTTCAAGCTGATTAACTACTAGACAGACGGGCGGACCAAGTCTGACTACTTTGGTAGGTACTATCTCAAGAATGCTGTGACCGTGTTGCAGGTCTTTAAAATAACTGCTTTTTGAATTAAGTTATGTACCTACTGCTGCATCTATATGTAGTTGTTCAAGGTGCTTTGTGAACACGATATGTGTAACACCCGTAGCTGAGATAATAAACGGAATTATATAGACCTTGGTTTGTTTCCATATTCTTTCTAGCTCAATGACAAGAGGAGTGTATTTCTTAATTTTTTCTTGGTATTTTTCATTTATGTTTGTATCATTACTTTCTTTGTCCTGTATGTTAATGTATAGTCTATTGCATGTGATGGTTTCATCAGTGTGTATAGTAAGATCATAGTATAGTCTATATTGTTGATTTTCGAGGATGCTCTCAAGGTGGTCTTTATAGTATGGTCAACTTTCTCACAGGAGTTCATTTTTAATGGCTATTGCTTGATGGATTATTTTTGCTACGTTGTTATGTCTTTTCATGTAATCAGTGCCCGCTAACATTTTGCATCCTCCTACAATATGTTGGATGTTCTCTTGTTGTATGTGACATTTTCTATATGAATCATCAATTCCTGGGATTTTCATGATATATTTCTTATAATGTTTTGTAGCAATGACTTGATCCTGTATGGCAAGCAGAAATCCTTCAGTTTCTGGGTAGAGTTCACCTTGTTGCAACCATTTGTATGTGATATTTTCATTTTCAACAATGTATACATGTTTGCCGTAGAGTTTCTTCTGTGCCTATCGATGTAGCTTCTCTTTGGGATCTTGTGTGTCTGTTTTTTCTTGCCTCATGTTTGAAAGATTAAGTGGTGTGATCGCTTTATGTAGTGCTGTATTTTTGTCGTGAAACTGTTTTCTTAACATTTGTATTTATTTTCCATGAAGCACGCAAAGATCTGAGTCCCCTTCCTCCATACTTTATCGTTAACCTCTCTTTGACCGAGTGGGGGTGGTGTTTTCTGTGTTTGGTTAATTTAGTCCTTGTTATTATGGTAATTTTCTCCATGTCTGTTTTTGTCCATTTTATTATTATTATTAATATTATTATTATTATTACTATTAGTCTGACAGTAGGCGGAAAATCCGATAAAAACTGCCACATTATAACCATAACAATCAAACTTAATCATGTACAAATTCGCGATTCACATGTGTAAGGTCTCTATCCAGTCTGTTTTTGAAAGTGTTCAAGGATGAGGCATCCACAGTGTCTTGGCTGAGTGTGTTCCATACATATACTACTCAGTTGGTAAGGATGTTCTGTCTAGCAAACTTTGCGCATCTTTCTTTTGAGAGTTTTTTGGAGTGTCCTCTAAGCATCATTTCGCCTCTCGTTACGAAGATATTCAGTTGAACGCTATAGTATCCAGATATGATTTTGTGGGTCTGTATTAAGTCACCTCTTTGCTGTTCTCTTAGAGTGGGAATCTTTAACCTGGAGCATCGAATTTCATACTGAAGTTCCTTCAGTTCGGTTAGAATGTCCCTAATGTAGTAATGGTTAAACAAAATCACAGCAAACTGGAAGATCGGTCTTATATATGCTTTATATATCTTCATAATTGTTGAACAGGAGTGATCCTTAAATGCTCTTTGGACAAGATATGTGTTTGCTCTCTTTACACTTCCCGCGATGTGGCTTTCCCATTTGAGATCTTATGTCATAACTACTCCAAGGTCTTTTTGATGGTCGATCTTTTTGAAGGCTTTTCCAAAGAGGGTGTATTGAGTATGTGGGTTGTTTGGACCGATATGCAGCAGTGTGCACTTTTCAACATTCAGGGACTAATTTTCAGTCCACATTACAGTCCTCAGATCACTCTGCACTGAGATGGCATCACATAGTGGATTACGATTACAGTACAGTTTGGTGTCATCTGCGAAGAAGCAGATTCTGTTATTGATGTCGCTTACCATATCGCTGATAAAAACCAAGAACAGTAACATCTGAGAACCGAGCCCTAAGGCACTCCACTCCTCACAGTTCTTTCGCTTGACAAGGCGCCATTTCTCCTAACCTGAAACCTACGCTTGGTAAGGAAGCCACCAATCCAGGATAGAAGTGGGCCCCTAACGCCATAGTGATCAAGCTTGTAAAGCACTCTGTGGAAAGGGACTTTGTCAAAGTTAAGGTAGGTATACCTACGTCATCTGGTCGTCCACTGTCCTGCAAAGTAGTCCAGTCGTTGAGACATGAGAGAAGGTTTGTATTATTATTATTATTATTATTATGGGTATCTGCAGTAGAGGAAATAAATCCGATGAAACTGCTAAATCTATTTGAGTTGTTATTTAAAGATTAGAGATTTGTGGGAAGTCATGCATTGCTCTTGCCGAAAGAGCCTCTTCGGTCTTAATAGTCCTCCTGAAACTTAGTTGCCTCATACGGTATAGTGCACAAAGAATGTTGTGCTTTGGTTCTTCATTTCTTGGTCTAAATGGTTTTTGAACTGGTTCTTTATTGTTGACGTGACAGTGTTGTTACCAAGACTGTTCCAGAGATAAACCACCCTGTTTATTAGAAAGTTTCTTCTCATTAGCTTGTTACATTTCTCCTTGGAAAGCTTTAGATTGTGTTTTGGTTGAGGTGGTAGATCTCTCTTAAGTCGCAAGCATAGTGCCCATTTATTATTTTAAAAGTTTCAATGAGATCTCCCCTCATTCTTCTATCTTTTAGGGTGGTTAGGTCTAGCTGGGTTAATCGTTCCTCATAGGGCAGTTCATGAAGGTCTGGAGCCAGCTTAGTTATTCTTCGTTGTACTATCTCAATTTGCTCTATGTCTTTAGCATAGTAAGGATTCCAAATAGTTTGTACATATTCCACTCTTGGCCTGACATCTGATTTATGTACCTTTAGTACCTATCATCTCTTTGGAGAGGTCTTTAAATTATTTTTGTATGAGGTAAATCCATTGAATAGGCTTTTTTGGTCATTTGCGTGATGTGAGTTTCCCATTTCAAGTCCTGGGTTACAGTGATTCCTAGATCTATATTGTATCTATGGATCTTTTCGGTAAGAACCCGTGTTGACATAATGGTAATATGCCATTCTCTAGGAAAGCTGAGTTAGCTCCCTGACAATTATTTTCTCCAGCACTTATTATTACATGATCGCTTTTTCGCAGGGGTGGTTTAGCCTCAATATTGGTAACCAGCTTGGAATCACTAACCAAAAACAAGTCCAGTAATGATGCTTGATCGTTTCGGTGTCTATAGTATATATGTAGTTGGAAAAGATATTAATTATTTAGCATTAATTTCCTTGTATCCATTAGGAAAGTCGCTGGCTTAAGAGGAGTAAGATGACAGGCTCAGAGTCAGCCAGTTTAAATCCCCAAAAATGTAGTGCACCAAGTGCGAACTAAAAGCTGTACTTAAATTGGTTATTAAAGTTCTATTTTCAGCCTTAGTTACATAACTTGTTGGTCAGTAGATGCAGGCAACTACAAATTTGACTGTTCCTTTGACGATATGCAATCATATTGACTCTATGGTTGGTGGAATTTATGCACTGCACTCCCTCAATTCGTGACTCTAGATATCTATGGTACTTATTTTTTCCTTAACGTATTCACAGATTCCCCCGCCTTTTTTGTTTGTTCTGTCTATTCTGAATAGTTTGTAACTGTCAATACTAATAAGGGAATCATTAATTTCAGACCGCAACCATGTCTCACTCACCAGTAACAGTACCACCATTTGAAGCTAATCTGAGAGGGAATAAGTCTGTGAGATATGAAGCAAAATAAGTGGACCATGACAGGATGCATAGAGAGCAGCAAAAGACTAAAAAATCGCAACCCAGACAGATGATTTACAAAAACATTATGGAACCTAATAAGTACACATAAAACCTGGAGAGGTGTATATTCATACATGGAGTAAATAAACGTTAATGATGATAATCAGACTCTGTGAACTTTTGTAAAATTCAGATTTTTTGAATCAGACCATGACAGCTGTTGATATTCAGAGACAATTTAACAACAGGAAAACCCACATTTATAATAACTTCAAATGGAAGATTCCAAACTTACCATCTAACAATTCAGGTTTAAGGTCTGACACGACGTAGTGCGTCCATATAGCCAGTTCGACTTTGTGCGGCGACCATCTGGTAGAGGAGCCGGCGTCGGCATTTAGTCGCTGAGACACCGATTCGATGTGCTGCACGAACTTCAGGTACTCTTTGGTGGTGTAATCGATGCCCTCGATATCCGGAATGGCCATCAGGCATTCGTCCGCCATAAACGGAGCAGTTTCTGGACATGCTGCAGCCAGAAGAGCTAATAACAAGGATTTATTTAAGTATAGAGAAAAATCTCCAAACAAAAAGTTTGTAGATACAGTTTTTGTGCTCACCTTCAGTTTACAAAGAAAAGTTTTAGAAAATGTATATGAGGTAGTTATTTCTCAAATCAACAAAGCTAATGGTTCAGATGTGAAACGTCTAAAACACGTAGCTCATAATAATAATAATTGTAAACACATCATCGTCAACATTAGCCTTTCTATAATAATACCTCGTGTAGGTAGGTAGGTATCTGCTATTGTAGAAGGCAAGGTAAACCAATGGAACAATGAAAACGGAAATATAGAGACCTATGACTTTCTATAATTAATTTAAACTGGTAGTTAGATTTTTGATAATATGGCCAAATAATAATAATAATATCCTAAAGAAGATCAAAGAATGCATCATGATCATTTACAAAAATTCAATTGAATCAAAACAGTTTTATGTTCCATCTAAAATTCTGAGCTCGTTGGCTTAAGTTCTCTCCAACTGCCAATGAACACCTTGCCTGGGTGTGCAACTGTTATGTTGGCAACGAGGACCACCTTTTGCTTGCTGGTCACAAAACGACGATTGCCGCATTATTATGGCCGAAGGTCGATTCTATTCTCCGACTTCAGTGGTTTTGTGTGTACAATAGATACTAGAGTTTATTACTTGAGCAATGCTGGCTGCCACCATTAACTTTATAGTTGAGAGAATTCTTGATAATAATAATTGAAATTTTTTTTTCAAAGGAAGAACTGAGGATAAAATAGGATGGCTTATAACTTTTGAGTCTTGGAAAGCGAAAAACAATTTAGAATAAAGTGGAAAGGTTTAGAAACGATAAGTGGTAAATAAATTTCAACTAAGTGCAATGTGAAGGTGGGTGGAGTCTTGAAATATCCTTTTACAAGGATTCAAAACCCCATAAACTTAACTGAAGAGCCATATAGACAATTTTATAAGGAGGTGATTTTGTGTAAAAGACATAGGACAAAAAAATTTGCAGTTCCAGGGCTTGAAAAAGGAGAAACATCTCTAAAAACCAAATGTGTATATAAGGAATGCACATTCATGTTTATCTTTTAGAATTGATGTTTGTTTATCTAAAGACCCAGTACAGAGTTTTCTTTAGCATTTACATTGCTGGATTACCATTATCATCACTTTTGCCTTTTGTAGACTTTCTTGTATGATAAAACTATGCTGACAATTATAAGAAAGAAAAAATAGCTGACTAATGAAACTTATTAGTGACTGAAATTTAAAAAGTTTCTAAAGCAATCTTACCGCTAGCCATGGTAGTGCCGACGCCTTTCAAGTTGCTCAACGCCGTGATTGCGCCTTCCAAGTTCGGTAATTTCTTAAAAGCCTTTTTCGTTTCCTGTATGACCATCCTGGGCGTATTGACTTTGACTAAGTAACTAAGCTGCGGGTAAAATTTGCCCCTGTTCTGTTTCCATTTCATCGTTTGGACTAGTTCTTCGTGGATCATGTGCGCATCTTTGCCTCTTGATTTGATTTTTTTCGGTAGTTCATTTTGATACCTGCGTAACAAAAATTGAAACGGTATTATAGCTGCAATAGATAAGATACCATTTATCCCCTGACTGATTGCACTATCCAGGAAATTCTCTCATAAGATGATAAAATTGATAAATAAATTTATTATATTTCATGCATTAACAAGGTAACACTGAAATTACAATTTAAAACAAAAAAATCCCGCTTGTTAACTGAAATTTTATTCACACAGAAAACAATGGGTATTTTTCTTTATGGTAGCTTTTTTGTATTCAGATTATGAAGCAACACATAACACAGTGTGTTTCTTGGAAGTCTTATGTAAATTTAACACACAAAAGTGAATCAGCATTTTAAAAAGTCCACTATAAGTAATAGAAATTTTTCTCATCTCCGGTGAGTCATAATAGAGTTTAAATGGATTTTATTTAGCACCGACCAACAGCGGACAAATTGAAAGTAACACGCCAACGGAAAATTAAAGTTTGAATTGTTTTCTTTTTAAAACTTGAAAGTCGATTATTCTTGAGTTTATAACGGTACTTTTGGCGTCAAAGAACAAGTAGCCAGACCAGCAGTCGAGTGATGGCCCGTCATGCGTGAACATCCTGTACATTTCCAACAGCTTTTAGCTTTACCGGTTTTCTGTGTGTGCTCGCTGGGGCTTTAGAAACGATGAGAGATAGCATAGCAGCAGGAAACATCGGCATTGCAGGGTCGGAGAACCGCAACAGCAGATGGTTCAGGTTAATGATGGTATTATGATGAGGAATACGGTTATAGAGCTTTTGACTTTAAAATAATAAGTCTTGCACAACTTCTTACTGATTTTTAGGTAATTGATTGCTTTTTAACAGCATGGAAAATACTTAAAAATCTTTTGGTTATCGAAAACAATTCCACCACTGTGTAAAGATACAGGGTGATCAATATTTTATTATTCCCGGCTCTTGTAGGAAATCTTTCGCGAAAGCCAGTAGGTAGGTAATCGAAAATAATTCTACCACTACATAAAGATACAGGATGATCAATATTTTATTCTCTCTAGTTTTTAACCTTAAAAATCTTTCACGAGAACTGGGAATAGACAAGAGTTGATTGCCATCTTTATTATTTGTTGTATTGAAAGTTTGTGATCGGCTCTCCTTTTCTAATCAATGAGAGTGACAAGGGACTGTCTGGAAAAATATGTTATCAAGTTGGCCCATGGACTGACACATGCGTCATTATTTGACCAATTCTTCATTGTACAATTTGACAGAAGTGACCACTGACAGTCAACTTCAAGAGCCGGGAATAAACAAAAATTGATTGAAAAGAAATCTCAATTATTTGTTGAATTGAAAGTTTGTCATCGGCTCTCCTTTTCTAATCAATGAGAGTGACAAGGGACTTTCTGGAAAAATATTTTATCAAGTTGGCCATGTATTCATGCATGCATAATTATTTGACCAATACTTCATTCTACAATTTGACAGAAGTGACCATTGACCGTCTACTTCAAGAGCTGGGAATAGACAAAAATTGATTGAAAAGAAATCTTTATTATTTGTTCAATTGAAAGTTTGCCATCGACCCTCCTTTTCTAATCAATGAGAGTGACAAGGGACTTTCTGGAAAAATATGTTATCAAGTTGGCCATGGATTGACACAGGCATAATTATTTGACCAATAATTCATTGTACAATTTGACAGAAGTGAACATTGACAGTCAACTTCAAGAGCCGAGAATAAACAAAAATTGATTGAAAAAAAATCTCAATTATTTGTTGTATTGAAAGTTTGTGATCGGCTCTCCTTTTCTAATCAATGAGAGTGACAAGGGACTGTCTGGAAAAATATGTTATCAAGTTGGCCCTTGGACTGACACATGCGTCATTATTTGACCAATTCTTCATTGTACAATTTGACAGAAGTGACCACTGACAGTCAACTTCAAGAGCCGGGAATAAACAAAAATTGATTGAAAAGAAATCTCAATTATTTGTTGAATTGAAAGTTTGTCATCGGCTCTCCTTTTCTAATCAATGAGAGTGACAAGGGACTTTGTGGAAAAATATGTTATCAAGTTGGCCATGGATTGACACAGGCATAATTATTTGACCAATAATTCATTGTACAATTTGACAGAAGTGACCAATGACAGTCAACTTCAAGAGCCGGGAATAAACAAAAATTGATTGAAGAGAAATCTCAATTATTTGTTGAATTGAAAGTTTGTCATCGGCTCTCCTTTTCTAATCAATGAGAGTGACAAGGGACTTTCTGGAAAAATATGTTATCAAGTTGGCCCATGGACTGACACATGCGTCATTATTTGACCAATTCTTCATTGTACAATTTGACAGAAGTGACCACTGACAGTCAACTTCAAGAGCCGGTAATAAACAAAAATTGATTGAAAAGAAATCTCAATTATTTGTTGAATTGAAAGTTTGTCATCGGCTCTCCTTTTCTAATCAATGAGAGTGACAAGGGACTTTGTGGAAAAATATGTTATCAAGTTGGCCATGGATTGGCACAGGCATAATTATTTGACCAATAATTCATTGTACAATTTGACAGAAGTGACCAATGACAGTCAACTTCAAGAGCCGGGAATAAACAAAAATTGATTGAAAAAAAAACTCAATTATTTGTTGTATTGAAAGTTTGTGATCGGCTCTCCTTTTCTAATCAATGAGAGTGACAAGGGACTTTCTGGAAAAATATGTTATCAAGTTGGCCATGGATTGACACAGGCATAATTATTTGACCAATAATTCATTGTACAATTTGACAGAAGTGAACATTGACAGTCAACTTCAAGAGCCGGGAATAAACAAAAATTGATTGAAGAGAAATCTCAATTATTTGTTGAATTGAAAGTTTGTCATCGGCTCTCCTTTTCTAATCAATGAGAGTGACAAGGGACTTTCTAGAAAAATATGTTATCAAGTTGGCCATGGATTGACACAGGCATAATTATTTAACCAATAATTCATTGTACAATTTGACAGAAGTGACCAGTGACAGTCAACTTCAAGAGCCGGGAATAAACAAAAATTGATTGAAGAGAAATCTCAATTATTTGTTGAATTGAAAGTTTGTAATCGGCTCTCCTTTTCTAATCAATGAGAGTGACAAGGGACTTTCTGGAAAAATATTTTATCAAGTTGGCCTTGGATTAACACATGCGTCATTATTTGACCAATTCTTCATTGTACAATTTGACAGAAGTGACCACTGACAGTCAAGTTCAAGAGCCGGGAATAAACAAAAATTGATTGAAATCATTATTATTTGTTCAATTGAAAGTTTGTCATCGGCCCTCCTTTTCTAATCAATGAGAGTGACAAGGGACTTTCTGGAAAAATATGTTATCAAGTTGGTCATGAATTGACACATGCATAATTATTCGACTAATACTTCATTGTACAATTTGACAGAAGTGACCATTGACAGTCAGCTTCAAGAGCCGAGAATAGATAAAAATTGATTGAAAAGAAATCTTAATTATTTGTTGAATTGACAGTTTGTTATCGGTCTTATTTTTCTAATCAATGAGACTGCCAAGGGACTTTCTGGAAAAATATTTTATCAAGTTGGCCATGTATTGATGCATGCATAATTATTTGACCAATACTTCATTCTACAATTTGACAGAAGTGACCATTGACCGTCTACTTCAAGAGCTGGGAATAGACAAAAATTGATTGAAAAGAAATCTTTATTATTTGTTCAATTGAAAGTTTGCCATCGACCCTCCTTTTCTAATCAATGAGAGTGACAAGGGAATTTCTGGAAAAATATGCTATCAAGTTGGCCATGGATTGACACATGCATAACTAATTTCTTTTCACGTTAACCTCATATTTGAGATGATAGGTCAAGACTGTTGATATCAAATCAAAATTGTGGTAAATGCCTCAATGAATGAATAGTCTTTTTTGAGCAGCGTTTACATGAAAGGAATCTTTGCAGTTTGTTTTAGTAGAAAATCAGTAGATTTAAAAACCAGATTTATGGGAAAAATATGTAGGGAAAATATGACTGAACTGCCTCATAAATTACTTTGAACGAAAAACTGAGTATACCTATATGTAAGGAAATGTAGGATTCAAGCTGCATCTTAAATCCATTATTACCAAAAGACTCTCAAAGACCGCATGCTTAATCTCCAATAATTGAACTGCATTGTAAAGTACATATACATAATTATGCCCAGATTGTTTCCTATCCCAATTCTCTCAAGGCTCACCCCTCAATATAGCTGAATAATACATGCTCAAATTATGTTAAGGTATATAGTATGTATTGTGCGTCTTCTCTTCGCCTTGTCCCAAACAACATGTCTAACAGCGTCCACTGGTCTACTCCCAGTGGTCGTGTGCGACATGCCGCTAAAACTGCATTAATTTTTAAATCAGCTGATTCAGATCCATCGCTCAGCAGCAGGGGATCGAAGAGAGTGAGAGAGAAAGCGGTGTAATGGCAACTAAATGAGTGAGTATACATGCAGTAATTATTACGTCACGTTTAAGATAAAACCAAACGTAACCGTAAAGTACGCTTATTAATAGATTTATTTCGAGGAGTCTTTGTCGAATAATTGCTCGGCCTCTCTCCCACCCTCGCAGCCCATTGAATTCGCGTCCTTGACCTACAAACTAATAAACACGTTTTGCTTGCACTGCACTGGAATGTCTAATTACCTTTTGGATGCCGATCCCGTGTGTTGTTCATTTCGATGATGATGATTTTGATGACGTCGCGAGATGCGGCGCTCAGCCGTTTTTGTTTCCGGCAAAAATGCATTTTCGGGTTGGAGGAGGAGTGGGTTTTACTACTAGACTATATTTCGTCGCACGTGTGCGTGTGACACGTGGCATGGCGCCAACGGGACATTGAGAATTCGGATTAATCGATTGTAGATCAGTGTGCGTCAGATGTATTGCATATTTTCAATAAAAATTTATGTACTTATTTCGTGTGAATCAACAATATAAGAAAAAGAAGGTAGGTACTATTCTTATTCTTAGTT